ATAATAAAAAGAATTATTAATATTCTTAATACTTAATACTTTTTTACTTAGACCTTTAAAAAGATCGTAACTTATTAAAGCCGTATTAAATATTTTGAGCTTTTTATATTAAAACCTACGCTTTTTTACTTATTACTTTTATTATAAATAAATATTAATAACCTTATTTAACGAACTAAAGAAATAATAAAAGGATTTATATAACCTTAACTAGCTTAATCTTAGTAATTAAAAATACGACCTTAGTTTTATTATAAACTAATTAACCTATCGCCTCTTTAAAAAAGAAAAAGAAAGAAAATTAAAAAATAAAATCATCGTTATTTAATTACAAAATTTACCCTGTTAGATAATATATTTTAATATTAAATCTAAAAATAATATTATACTTAATACCCGCTAATTTATTAACCTTACTAAGCTCTTTAATAATAAAAGTAAGTATAATAATAAGAAATATAACGTCTTTAATAAAGAATTTCGGATTTTTAAAGTATTATATTAATAAATAAGAATTAGTAAATAATACTATTTTAATACTTTTTTAAGTATACTTAAGAGTAAGGTATTAACTTTTTACTTTAACTAACTTAGTAATATTTTTAACTCGCTTAGTCTTAATATAATATATTAAAAAACTTAAGAATATTTCGAACTACTTACAAGTTATTAAAATTACTTTACTAAGCTCTATAACCTTTATTAGTACTCTATAATTTATAAGAATTTAGGTAAATCGAATTAATAAATCCTATAAGCACTTATTAACCATATTATAATTTTTTATAAAGCGCTAGTTACCTAAGAATCTATTTTTAATATAAGTAACTAACTCTTTTATTATATAAATAATATATTAAAATATAGACTTATTATACTTAACCCGGTACTTATATTTATTAATATTTATTACTAACTTAGTATTTTAATTAATATTTTAAAAAGAGAGTATAATTACGATAAGTAATAATAATATATATAAAATACTATTTATAATAAAGAGGTCCTCGCTACTTATTAAACTGATTATACTTATAATAGCTTTAATAAAGAGACTTAATTTAATAAATAAAATTAATATAGTTACGGTATTACTAATAAAAAGTACTTTATTTATTATAAAACCGGCTATTAGTTAACTAAATACTTAAAAAAAGAATAATATTAGGTATACTAAAAATATTAAAATCGTAAAAAAAAAGAAAATTTATACTAAGTTTATATTTACAATTCCTCGTTTTTTATAAGGGAACTGCTCTTATAAATAACGATAACGACAATAATATTATAATTTAGTATTTTAATAGCTTCGACTTTAATTATAAAAATAATTACGAAAATAAGATTTAGATTTTAATAGTATATTTTATAACTACTACTAGCCCCCTAACGGAGCAATCTGCCGGGGCCGTATTATATATTACGTAAAGCGCTAGTTTATTACCCTAACTTTATATATTTTTAATCCGCTTATTATAATTATTATAACTAAGCTAATATTAATATACTAAATTTTAATATCCGTATTAGCTTAGCTATTTATAACGCTTATAATATTACTTAGCTAAATTTTATATTATTAAAAAGTATTTTATTACTTTTTAAATATATTTATATTAATTATAATAGTTATAGTGTTAAGCTAATTAAAGAGGGCGCCTAGCTTAAGAGGGGTAAACTTATTAATAAGTATTTTTAGCTTATTAATTACTAATTATATACTAAGAGAGTAGTAGTTTATATAGTGGTTTTTTTCTAGCTTTATAGGTACAAAAGATCGACCTTAATAAGATTACGCTTTTAAAAGAAATTATATAATACGGTACACTTTTTAATTATATAATACGCACAATATACCCTAAGCACGCGCTTAACGTAATATAGTAATTTCAATACGAAAACCGCTATATAATTCGGGATGGGCAAGCTGCCCTCTTTAGTAGCGGCGCCGGCTAGTTTTCTCTAATACGTAATATACGGTACGGCCCCGATAGATTACTCCGTCGGGGGGGAGTAGTAGTTTATATATTAATAAGTTTATTTAATAAATTTATTTAGTTTAAATAGAGAGTAGCTTTAGGTAATATTAAAAATAATAAGGATAAAAAAATCTTTACGAGCTTTAATATAATAAAAAAGTAGTAAATATTAGCCTATTTAGCCTTTTTTTTAAAAATCTCTACGTTACTATTAAAATTTAGAACCTCTATAGTTAAGGGCTACCTCTAATTTTTATAACCAACCTTTATTATTAACCTTTTTTAACTAGCGCCGCTATATAAGTATATTACTTAGTTTATCGTTAATAAGTAATAAAGTAGTTTATTTATTCTAAATTATATAGCGGTTTTTATATTAAAATTATTATATTATATTAAGCACGTACTTAGGGTATATTATATATATTATATAGTTAAAAAGTATACCGTATTATATAATTTTTTTTAAAAACGTAATCCCGTTAAGGTCGAATTTTTATACTTATAAAGCCGGAAAAAAAAAACTACTATATAAATACTTTATTAAGCTAAGTATTATAAAAAAAAGCGCTTTATAATTAATATTATAGTACTTTAGTAATTATATAAACGCCGCGAGCTCTACCAGATCCGTTAAATTAATAATAATAATAACCTAGCTAATAATTTATAAAAAGTATATTAAATAAATTACTTAAATAGGTCGTTAATAAAAGAACTATTATAATTAAAATAAAAAGATAAGTAATACGTAGTTAAATTAATAATATACTATAAGTAGTAAATTGCTTAACGAACGTATATACCTCTCGGGCTTTGGCTTAAAAAAAAACGTACGTATTTAGAACGTAGTTAGTTAATAAAAAGCTCTTTTTTAACTACGCTAAATTTAGTAATTTTTAAAAAGTTTAGGTATACGAATTATATATATTAAAAATTTAAAGAAGGAATTAGAAAAAGGGGATATTAAAATCTTTATATAAATATTTATAATAAAAGTTATATTAAAACTTAAGTATATAGTTTTAAGTATTTTTAAATAGGGGATCGTTAAAAATTTTATTATTAGTTCTTATTAATAAAAAACCTAGCCCCTATTTTACCTTTTTTTATTATTAAAATAGGAACTATTAATATTAAATTATAAAATAGAAAAGGGGCCTTATTAAATAGTTAAGTAAGAGTAATAAATAAGTAGTTTAAGTCCGTATAAACGGACCTTTTTACTTATTTTTATTTACTAAGGGATCGCGGGCTCTACTTATAATCTTCCTCCTTTTTATATTATATATAATAGACCTATATTAACTTATTAACCTCGCCGCAACCGAAAGGTCTAACCTGCTTATGTATATACTAATAGATCCCTACTCGGTTGTGGCTACTTTAGTCGGCAGCTATGCCCGGGGTTTGGCCAAAAGCCGACTCGTAGACGACGAGTCGCAATGGCCCACTCGCCCTGCGATTGTTGAATCAAGGCCAGCTGCTCCCGAGTTCGTCACTGCTCTATCTATTCTCTTTGCTACGTCTTGTTGAAGACTCTGTCTCTGCTGCGTCTTTTCTTCGCCGATTCCGTTGTCCATGCCCTGGAAGCCCCCTACCCCCTCTCCCTCTTCATCTCTTGCTACCTCGGCTCGGTTGGTGTTTGCCACCGTCTCTGGTTCCGTGTACCTATACTCAATCCGCCTAACCAACCAACCGACCACCCAACCCTGTCCCCCCCCCCCCCTTTCAGCAGGGCTCAGCCTGTCTCTCCGACTGCGTATGTTCCCGTGTCCTGACGGGGTCCGCAGTCTCGGTTGTACCTGAAAATGCTTCATTGCCTCTTGCCAGGTTCCTATGTGGCTATACGTTCTCATCCTTCGATCACCGCCGCCGTCTACCACCTCGAACTAGGCTCGATCCGCAAAACATAGTACTTCACTCGCGTCGATTCGTCCATTACTGAGTATAAGAGCTCGTGCACAAATTCAGTAGACATTGTCGTGTGTTGAAGGGGCGACAATCCGTATTCGCATAGGGGGTGTGGTAGGAGACCCATCCGTCTGTACGGGGGGGAATGTAATGTTATACGGTATAGGTCGTAATATACCTAGTGTCTGGTACTTTCTCTGCGTAGAAGATGATAAAGTTCTTCGAGGTTCCTCGTACTAGTTATCGCGGGACGTTATAAACTTTACCGGGGTCATAAGTAACCCGAGACCTATCTGTGGCTATCGGACCAACTTTTATCTAAGTATAGTCACTAAACTTTTCAAAATAGCTCACATCTTATCCGCCGTAATAGTGATGGTGTTATTCATTGATGTGCCGTATTTTATGACTTGCTCTTAGGATTTTTATATTTAGAGCCCCCGCGCGGCCATGGGCAGGCAAGATCCGTAAGCCAAGAATACTGTCCTAGACCCCGTGTGTTCGAGACACGTGTGTAAGGGGCTGGTCCCTAGGCTTGCTCAATGTAGAGGTGCCGTCGGTCGACTATTTTAAGCTGAAGGGGGAAGAGTGGGATTACAGGGGTGCGCGTCTAGCTCCTGCATTGCATTCCTGGGCTCGACGGTGTACTGTGGCAGAATAGTAGCTCCGGCAAAGCCAGATATCTCAACCGGGCTCCAGCCCGTGACACTAGCCTATGTGAGCGGGAACGTCAGGGGGAGCGAGCCATGTCCACTTACCCACGACTCAAACGATTGCTATAATCCCGCCATGCCCGACAGCACATAGCGACTCAGATGCCGCGGACTGCACCAACCGGTTTGGAAACGTACGATCATATCCGACGATGCCATGACTAAAATGCTCATGATTATAATGTCTCGTTCCGAGATGTGTCTTGGCGAGCTCGCCGGGGGAGTGCATCATCGGAATAGCTGTGCCTAAGCTTAGATACGACCCGCGGACGAACAACTTTGCAATTAATTTCTCCTTCTCGCCTACGGGGTTTCAATCTCCCCGAGTCCATATCCGTGTATTGATTAAAGCTTTCACTTGGTGCACACGGACAGACTTAAGTATCCGACCTGCATGGTAAGCCATCTTGATAGGTCAGAGTATTCCTAAAGCCACTCTACTTAGCAATCAAGAAGGTGGGCAAGCAAGAGCATTAGATTCCAGGTTCCTGTTATCATTCGATAGTAAGACCTTTCCATATAAAGTCAGTCGATGGGACGCAAAAGCCTTATGGCCATTCTGTTTCTGCTACCCAAGCTGTCACAGTAAAATATCCTTTTATTCACAATGGCAATGTTGAAGCATTTTGTCTTACTCGGAATCCTATCTCGGCCGGGGTTTACCGCCGCGACGCCGAATTGTAAATGTGTAAGATACTACTCTTCCTCAACAAAAGCTTGTTGCTTACTCGGCGAAGGTCCCGGAAAACAGCTGCTGGCCGTCTCCCTCCCAATGGGATGCTCTCAACACCTCTATATCCGGCAAACTGGTCGACGTGCAACCTGTTGCAGTTTCCTGCTATCCCGGCGCTCTGTTCAACATCGACACTTGTGCGGATGTCAGCTCGAAGTGGGACAATTGTGCTTGGCAGGCTGAACAGCCCGCCGGGTTGTGCCAGGAGGCTGACGATCTGAAATGCCCTCTAGTTGTTCCGCCGGCCGTGTCTGAAGATGACTGCACCAACGGAAACGAGCCCAGATATGCAGTCAATGCGACTGCAGCCGGGGACGTGGCAGCTGCCATCCAGTTTGCGAAAGATAACAACATCAGACTTGTTATCAAAACAACTGGCCACGATTTTCTCAGGCGCTCCCAAGGGTTCGGGAGTTTGTTGGTCTGGATGAGGTACTATCGTACAGGCCTCGACTTCCAGCAGACGTTTCAATCCTCTTGCTCCGAGGCCTTGAATTGGAAAGGCAGTGCCCTGAAGATTGGTGGAGGGTACCAGTGGAGTGATGTCTACGCCGTGGCGGCAGCAAACAATGTCATTGTGGTTGGCGGAGGAGCGCCTTCAATTGGTGCCATCGGTGGCTGGTTACAAGGAGGCGGGTATGGACCAGCCACTCATCAATACGGCATAGGAGCCGATCAACTCCTGGAGGCCGAGGTTGCATTAGCAGATGGGTCTATTGTCATCGCCAACACATGCCAAAACTCGGACGTCTGGTCTGCCATACGAGGTGGAGGCCCAAGCACTTACGGAGTTGTACTTTCGGCAACTTTCAAAGCATACCCAAACGTTGGTGCTGTGGGTCAAAAGCTCTCCTTTGATATCCCATCTACAAACAGCTCTGCCTTCATGAACGCCATGGCGGTGCTGTACTCATCACTTCCTGATCTCATCGAAGAGGGTTTTACGGTATTCGGCCACTGGGGCATATCCAACGTTTCACTTATTGGAAGTGCTCCTCCGGGTTACTTCCACAATGCCTACATGATCAATAGGACTGTAGAAGAGGCACAGGCTGTGTTCTCTCCAGTGCAACAGAAGCTTGCGGCTTTTGGTCTGAACATAACTCAGAGATGGGCGTCATATGATGACTACTGGGCGCTGTTTAACAACGTATCCGGGGGCGACAATCCGGGTTTCCCCATTGGCGTCATCTATTCTCGATTTATGGATAAAACGGCGATGCAAGATAATCCGTCAGACCTACTCCAGACGCTTGACACATTGGCTGGGGCTCCTGGAGACTCTACCCGCCTCGCTATAGAATGCATGTCAGGCGGCAAGGTTTTTGAGGATGCCAACGATCGTTACTCCAGCGCTCACCCCGCATGGCGTAGCTCGTACTGCCTGCAACTAGTTCAGCGTGGATGGCCGCCGGATGCCGACAAGGCGTTCATTTCGGCCGTGAAAGACGACGTCACTTCGGTCAAAGGCGGTGCTCTGATAGCGCTGGCGCCAGACACGGGTACGTACATGAACGAGGCTGGTTGGGAAGATCCAAATTGGAAGGACAATTTCTACGGTTCAAACTATCCTCGTCTGTTGGATATCAAAAAACAGCGGGATCCGGGCAGTGTGTTCTACTGTCCTACTTGTGTCGGAAGCGATGAATGGGTCGAAGATGAATCTGGTAGGTTGTGCCGAGTCTAAGGAAGTGAGATGCAACAGATTCGACAGATCAGGGGGAGCCACTGGCGGGCGTGGAAGAAGCTTAAGGGGCCAAGTGGTACAAGGGTGGAGATAGACCCCGACGCGGGAGAAGTATCGTTGACTAGAGATTCTATAACAATCAAGCCTATGACTTGGCGCTGCACCTACTGTTATCACAAAATCTAGGTCGCCAACCTTCGCCGAATAGCATTCCCAGTCTCTACTCACATCTCCAAATTCTGCGGGGGCTATATGCCTCACAATCTATCTATCTTTCTCGCTGCTGACCAAACGGCAAAGCAATAACGCCAGGACAACCATAGAGGATGATTTACACTGACGGCAGCAGTGCGCCACTAACACACATCCGCATGGTAGGGTGTTGCCCAGATAGTTGATAATCTACGGTGAAAAGCAAATCAAAGGCCCTCCACGCCTCATAGGAGTGATCCAGGTCCAAAGCGTTTTCTCCATTGCGCATAAAGCAATGATTAACCGTTCGGCACAGTTTCTAGTCTAGTTTCTGTGAACAAACACTCAGTACCCAAGCTTAAAGCCCCCCCAATTGAGCGTAGTGAACACCCCGAGTTCGTCATATCTTCCTCTAATCTCCCTCATCCTCTCGATATTCTCAACAGGGAAACCGGCAAAAACGTTCTGGGTCTCGGAAGCATCTCCCATATAAACAAATTCCGATGATGCTAAGTCATTAAGACGATTTTCAGAGTGTAGGCGCGCAAGTAGGGACCTGGTCCACGATGTGATACGCAGGTCGTCCTCTTCACGGTCCCATCCCGTAGAAAATTGCCACCCTAAGATGACCAATCAGACAAGGTTACATGGAACGCGTTGCAGCCGTGACTTACAAATCTCGTCGATGTTATCATCCAAGCCCCAGGTATTACCAATGCCGTTAGTCTTGGCCACTCTAGCGGATGACTTTGGCGACATGTTCAAAATGAACGTGGGATAGAGGCCTTGGACATCACTGATGTCGTCCACAGCGTCCCTCCACTGCTTGTACATCCCGTAGATCGCGTCTGAATTCGGCTTGATAGCATGCTGCCCATAGGTGTTTCTAGCCAGCTTGTTTAGCATAGTACAAGCGAGAATCCAAACGTGAGCAGCCACTCATCACACTCTGACTCACCTGAACATTTGGTAAGGGGACTCGAGCATTGAATGCCAGATCTTGGGCGTGGTGACATTGTCTACTCTGGATGTCGCCGAGATTGTAGAGAAGTTGGAGAATCGGTGCGGTGGAGAGTTCGCTCCCTCCTGAACGCCCATTATTCTAGCCGAAATCAGCTTTGTTGTAGCATTCTTCTGTATAGTCACCACTCCGCCAGCGGCAATAGACGGGTCGTCTGCTTCAACAAAATCACAGACGGCCTTGATGAATGCCGGGATAGCACCCTCGTCAAACTCCTGGATGGTCGTACTGATTTGCCGAGCCTCAAAGGTTTTGTAAATAAAGCGTGTAACGACTCCGAAGTTGTTGACGCCTCCCTTCAGGGCCCAGAACAGATCGGAGTGAGTTGTCGCATTCGCAACGACTTGTGTTCCATTCCCAAGAACAACATCGTAGCTTACGACGTTGTCCATTGCAAACCCGTATTTGTTGTTGAAATAGTGGAATCCGCCGATTAGTGAGAGTCCAGATATCCCGATTGACTTTCCTCGGCCGCCAATTGCGTACCGCCCATAAGGGTCCAGGGCGTTGTAGATGTCGATCCATCTATTTCCTGGCCCAGCTTCAATCAGTTCACCGTTTCCGACAACTTTGAGATGTCTGAGACGGTTCAATGCCAGTAGCACCCCGCCGTTGATGTTGTTGGATCCTGGAATCTATCACATGATTAGTACTGAACGGAATAGCGCAAGGTGAGTTGAAGTGTTAACATTCATATGACCAGCAGCTCTGATAGCAAACTGAGCCTCACAGCTACTGAGAATTTTGATAGCATCTGCAACTTCAGTTGCGTTGAGAGGAAGGAAGATGCAGGCTGGGTCCATGTTCGAACGCTTGTCCCAGAAGTTTGTAGATTCAGCCGCGTAAGTCGTGCTGTTAGGCATTAATAGTAACTCAGGGTACTTTTGCCGCAAGGAGTTGCATGCACATGGCACTCCGGTCTCGACGTCGCGAAGTTCGAACTTGGTCGAGCTGTGAGGCAATGGCCCAAGCATTTTCGCAAGAGTAGTTCCCGAAAGCAACCATGTTGCGGCAACTTTGAGTAACATTTTAGACGATTATTGTATGAAGTGTAGATTTTGAGGTGTTTGGTTGGTGTAAGTTGGAACTTGTTTGGGATGCCCATGAGGTTCTGAACAATATGTTCTCTATATATATAGGTAACAATGCATGGTTCAATGATATCCTGTGTCTTCGGTCTGGCATCTACCCTAGACACCATCCGGCATCTTCGGAATGCTATGGAGTGAACTCATATAGCCATAATTAAAATCACAGCCGTATTCGTAACCGTATTACACGAATATCAGCCTAATGCCTGGTTCCCTCCGCTTGGCTTCCTCGATATTGTTTCCTGATACTTTTAGGTAAATCCATCTTGTGAGTGCCAAGATGTCCCCGTCCCAAAGGCTTCATAAATCTAGAGTCGATTTTAATGGCCATAACAATGATGTACATCAGGCAATTAACAAGGTATGTTGTTTTCATCCAAGTCAGAGCCACAATACGCTCAAGAGGAATATTGGCTATGGTTACCTACTTCAGACTTGAATATAGTCAAAATACTTAGTGGTTGTTCATTGTTTGCCCGCAGGCCCTGTTATTCTTGAGCTGGTAGTTCTTCTCACCTCACATAGTTGAACAACGATCATCGTGGAAATGTCCCTCGCTGAGAGATCATGTGATGGGTAAAGTATTTACGTAGTGTGAAGTAAGCATTGGTAAAAGTGGTGATGGATATACACGAAGAGCATCGATTAAAGGCTACACAGCGAGGACACAATGGCTCCATAGCCCGTGTAAGAAACTTATTACGCTATACTAAATCGGTGATGCTCGTAAATGCATGATATCTTCCACAGATTGACATCAGGGATCAAGTTTTAAGAATCAATGCCTTGATAGTGAGTAAGCTGGTAGGAATTCTGATGTAGAATACGTACTCTCGAGATGATTCATTCAATGTAGTCGGCTACATGAAGCCTCCGACTTGCTCCAGACGGAGGAATGTTTGGCCGATTGAAAGCTAAGAAATGCCTATTCACGGGACCCCTGCTTGAGCTGCTCGCAGCGCTACGGTGACTTTGCCTATTTCCCTTGCAATGACGAGGCAGATAACAGCTAGGTATGGATGAGAAACCCTGGATTCTGGGTTTTCCCCCGCGATTTCCACGCATGGGCGGGAACCCCCAAAATCTGCTTCTTTTCCCGCGGTCTAAGCGAATGGGCGGGAATCCCAGAGCTCTGTTTCTTTTCCCGCGGTTCACACGAATGGGCGGGAAAACGCTAGTGAGCTCTCGGATGTGCCGACTTGGCATGCCCGGTGAGCCACCTAAAGCATACTTGCGAGGAAGTGACGCTGAAGAGATGCCATTGAACGCGGACCATCCTAGTCATAATCGTCTCGAGTCCGCAATCGTCATAAAAGCCACATTAGATGCTACCTTACTGGGCGCTTCCTCCTCTCAGTCACCAGGCCACAGAAGTGCAACGACAAATGGATGCCGAATCGACTCCAAAGATCATCTGGTAAGAAAGAGGGTCTTTTAGACTGGAAAATTGAATTGTTATCATGTTCTATGCTATAGTAGAGGTCTCTGCTTCTGCAATCCGATGCCATTTGAGTGCCACGTTAGGTACCATCATTATGGCGTCTTTAAGGTCCTGATGCGTTGATGGCGTCATAAACTGCCTCCACGTACTTCTTTGTTCGATAGTTGGCAAGACCAGCATTCTCCATTTTATTCATCGTGTAGGCAATGGTCACTCCCCTTGTTTGGTCCGCTATCACGATCGAGCCACCCCACCCGCCCCAGAAACACACGCGGCCTTCCGGGAGCCAGTCCGCTATTGTGCCCCTTGCTGTGAGGGCAAATCCCATGCCAAAACTGGTCTGATCGCCGAAAACTAGGTCTCTTCCCAGTATCTGCTCTCGGAATATGAGATCAATGGTCTTGGGTGATAGTAGTCGCACCCCGTCCACCTCCCCACCAAGGGAGACAACGGATAGAATGCGCGCCAGACCTTTCGCGGTTGCGTGACCATTGGACGCACCAAGCTCGGCTAATCTCCAACCCGGTGTGTTGGCAATTTGTGCTTGAATCGGAGGGTTCGTCGTAGCTTTCTTCCCGAACGAGCCGACGTCAGAAATTGGAGGCGCGTCAGTGGGCGGCGGAATAATCTCTGCAACTCGATGCCAATCCATCTCTAGAGCACCAAGCTGGAAATCTGCCTTCAGAGGTATTGCGATCTCGTCTCTGATGAACGTTCCGAGGGACTTGCCAGTCGTGCGAAGAACAATCTCTCCTATCAAGTGGCCCATGGTGATCGCTTGGTAACCGAAAGCTGTTCCGGGCTCCCACCACGGTTGTTGCTCGGCAAGCAAGGCAGTGGCTTTGGGTATGTCGTAGACGTCTTCCATAGTCATCGCAGCGTCCCAACCAGAGACTCCGGATGTGTGAGACAAGATGTGGCGGACTTCGATATTTTCTTTTCCATTAGTCCCAAACTCGGGCCAATATTCAGAGACCTTGGCGAACGGCGAGATGATGCCTCGGTCAATGAGCATGAGCGCAGCAAGGCTGATAACGGTCTTGCTCGATGAAAACACATTGACAATGGTGTGTTGTTTCCATGGAGCGTTGCCCTCCTTCTGGGTGAAGCCACCCCAAATATCCACAACATCTTTTCCGCCTATGTTCACGGCAATAGATGCCCCGTGCTCTTCACCATTGTCGAGGTATTCTTGTAGTAGGACCTGAACAGAGGCGAACTTGTCGTCGCAGAAACCTTTCACCTTTGCTGTCATGTTGAGTTTTCGATAGTGGGGAGTCAAAGTCGAACAACAGCCCTTCACCCAAATGTCCAGCCTTTTCTTATGTAGGCATTGTCTCGTTATCAAGAGACTTTTGACCGTGATGACACACCACTCACTCACGGGAGCGCCGTGAAAGACCGACGTAATCAGTGCCTCCGACTTACAAATCAAATGATTAAATTCTGATTATGGCCAGGAGGATAGACGCAAGACAAGGCGTACTACAGGCTCCGCCACTGAGTCGAACTCCTAGGGTCGAGGTCCCAAATGTCGAGATCAGTGCTTGGATGAGTGACCGGGATTCCCAGGTATTTAGCGACTTGACTTTCTCCACTTTGCAGCATCGCTTCGACTCAGCACTCCAGTCAAGCCTTTCGAAGGCCCTCACCAAATTCATCGGATCTTTAGGGTTTATTTTGGAGGGAAGGGGGTGTTTCCATCAGGCTCCTACACTGTTTCCTCGGCACTGGACGGCTTTTCTTTTCCTCGTCTCTGCCTTCTGGTCCTTTTCTTTGGGTCGTATACCCAGGCAGAATGAAATACTATTGCTGCACCTCGAGGTCATATTCAAGTTTGGAATACTCAGCCTGGCATGTCTGAACCGCTGTCTACAGTGACCGGAATCGGAACTACCTGAAATGGTACTGCGATGACAGTGTGGACAATAAAGCGACCAGGTAGCTAATGGCGTGGCTTGATCTAGGTTCTATCTTTGTGTCATTATCACGATGGACTTCACAATATGAGATATCCCGACTAACGTGGATGGGGCTACCTCAAGGGTTACTCATTCAACAGAAATGCTTAGCAATCTTCATTATTAATACCATTGCCCTACATGATGTAAGGGAGTCAAATCCCTCATAGTCCACTCCCGTAGGCTGTGAAACTCCGGGACTACTCACTAGCTCCACCGGCCTGCCGCTCCGGAAGTCCACGGAAGATGGACTTAAGCCCGTAGCATACAGACGGCGTTATTTATACTTTGCCAGGGCAAAGCTTCTTGTGCACATGTTGGTGCGAGGTTCATTGTTTGTTTAAAATTCTACATTGGAAAGCATCTAGCTATTAATAATTGCCCTATTTTTGGCTGTCCCGACATGAGTGTCACCGCGGGTTCCAACCTACGAGTGGCCGTTGTTCAGGCCGAGCCAGTGTATTTCGATCTTAAGGGTGCTGTCGATAAGACAATCAAGCTTATCGGGGAAGCTTCCAATCAAGGCGCAAGATTAGTTGCATTCCCCGAAGTTTGGATTCCCGGCTATCCATCATGGATCTGGTATGTCGATTGATCGAGAGTCGCAGAGCTATATGTTGTAGAGACTGATTTCATGAGTAACCATAGGGCACGAGGCTGTGACATTGACCTGGTTCAGAGATACATCAAAAGTTCTTTGCGTCTGGACTCCCCAGAAATGACAAGAATCTGCGAAGCTGCCGCTGTTCACAACATCGATGTCGTGCTTGGCTACTCAGAACGGGACGGTGACTCGCTTTACTTGGGGCAAAGCTACATCGGCGCGGACGGCGTCATCAAGTGCAGCCGACGAAAGATCAAACCTACGCATATGGAGCGAACCGTGTTTGGTGACGGTAGTGGAAAGTCACTTCTGAATGTTGTTGAACGCCCTGAGATTGGCAAGGTCGGGATGCTCTGCTGCTGGGAGCATTCTCAGCCGCTGCTCAAGTATCATACGCACTCTCAAGGGGAGCAAATTCATGTCGCGGCTTGGCCAGCCCAGTTGCCTCACGAAGAGGGTAAAGGCCTGTGGTCCACGGCCAACCAAGGTTAGTCCTCAAACTACTTTCCCTTGTCACACTTAACGGGTGAACGGTATTGCGTACGACATGTTCTGACCAGAGCACACGTCCAGGGTCCCTCAATCTTTCCGTCACCTACGCCATAGAGGGTGGCTGTTTCGTGCTACACGCCTGCGCCATCATCAGCTCCCGCGGGGTTGATATTATGCGAACTCATGATGGAGATCAGTATTATGCGCCAGGTGGCGGTAAATCCTGCGTTATTAGGCCGGACGGCAAGGTCATTTCTGAATTTCTCCCCGATGATCAGGAGGGCCTAATTATGGCTGATCTGAACATGGATGACATTCTGCGCTCCAAGGCCTATCTAGACACCCAAGGGCATTATAGCCGACCTGACCTTCTTTGGGCGATGGCAAACACAGAGGAGATGAGAAGGGTAAGATGATGATTCACACATCTTAAAATGGGTGCAAGTATGTAACGAAGTATGGGGGCCATCTAGATCTATCTAGGTGATAAATGAATCCAACAATAATCGGCAATGCTCCCATCTATGAAGATTTCTTGAAAGTGGAGTATAAGAAACAAATGGAACAAGACATTCAATACTGATGTGTCTTAATACCAAGAAGCTATCGCATATACAGATTACCGTAGGCTAGGCATGAATGCAAATTTCACATATGGCATTCTGCCACCCTTAATTACAGAGCGTATTTGACTACTTTCCACTGACCATGTGTAATGGTCCTTAATAGTTCGCTTTTCGCTCCTTCTTCTTACGATCTCCTCATGGCCCATCTAAACAAAACACGCCACAATACCTGTCAGGATTTAAGGCCGTTCGGCAATTTCGAACAAGCACGCGGGCCTCTTTGCCACCTCAACCTTTCACACCGGGTCATGGTATCTTCTGGTTCCATAGAGTAAGTGTCGGTCAGTCGTATACACGAACGGAGATCCTGGATCTCTGGAGCCCGACATTTTTCTCTAACCCATAGTGCCTGGTTAAGAATCCACTATCGAGCTTTGATGGCTACCCACAATTCCAGTCATGCAGAACGCAGGTCATAAATTAAGGTTCCTTATTGAAACCTAGTCCCTTGGCCTTGTCGACCCTGTCCAAGCCGGCGCAGCTTGGTACAGCGAAGGTGAAGGTATGCGTTCAGAATGAGTAGTTGGCTGCCCAGGTTGGCGGAAACTGGCGCGCAAAATTCCCTGTATCATTTGTAGGTGGCATATTAGGGATAATGAAGAACGACACGTCGAGGGTTGACGGTGCAAGGAGGTCAAGTGACCGGCAAGCGGCGTAGGTATGAAGGCTCATGTAGGAGGCATTCCCAAGACCAACATCCCGAAAGAGCAGGACAGGTCACTATCAAATCCGAGAAGACTTAAGGTATTAGAAATAATAACAAGCACTAAGTCATACTTACCAGAAGGAGTCAGATTGTGCATACCTATCTTTTCACATCTTCTACACGGAGGATGCATTATTAGTGCGTGCATCCAATATCCTATATGAATCTGGACGGAGGGAGTTCTAGAGAGTCCAGATCCACAGTCTCCACGTGAATCCCGAATCTCCGATTAGTCCATGGCCCTGGGTTGAACAAGGACTGCAGCTGAGTCACAAAATCATGATCATAGGCAGATGCTGGCAGCCAAATGGTCATTTGCAATAGAGCCACTCAACCTTGGAAGCCCCGCAATATCTTCGTTTTGGATTACTAATTCTACTTTTGTTCTCGCTCTCTGGCCGAGCGCCATTGGCAAAACGTTTATATATCGGTGCTCTGACCCCTCTCCAATACCAGCCCTTGCAATAAGTCTACCACACAACAGACCTGTTCATTCCAGCATCATTCGCAATGTCTCATCTTACCTATACCTCTTACGAAGGCTACGGCGAAAGAGTCAAGAAAAGCCTCTGGTATAGTCAAGCTGTCCGCATCGGTGACATCATTGAATGCTCGGGGCAAGGTATTACCCCTCCCTCTTGTCCGTTTCCGCTTCATAAGCTCTAATTTGTTGTGTGCCAGGTGGCTGGGACCGCGACACCGATAAGATCGACCCCAACATTGTTACACAGATCGAAAAAGCGTTCGATAATGTCGACAGGACTCTTAAACTAGCCGGAAGCCGCGGCTGGGAAGACGTCTTTTTCCTGCGATCCCACCACCTCCCCTGCAACCAAGAGGCTCTGGATACTATGGTTCGCTGTTTGAAAAAATACTGCCCTAACCACCAACCCGCTTGGACCTGTCTCGGAGTTCCTCGTCTGGCTTTTGACGATATGCGAGTCGAGATCGAGGTCCGCGCTCACGTTCAGAGAGAGTGAGCATCTATCATCTTCAGTGTCACGACCCAACATGTATTTCAGGACCAAAGCCCGTCTTGCGGTGTCTATGTCGGCCATCCTAGATAAATACGTTAAACACGGGAACTTGGGCGGCTCCTCACGGAGCATGTTGTTGTTTTGTCTATTATCACTACTGTCATTACTATTTGTAGGAATGCTGTGATGTTTCCTGGTGATTCTATACCTCTATTATATCTAACATTTCTATTACTTCTGTACGCAGCTTCAAAGTACCCAGAAGACCTCACTGCTGCCTGTAATGCAGACTCTACGCCAGAACGCTGTGATACACCGACAGTGCGGCCCCACGAATCTCTAGCCACCGAGCATGGTCTTTCGGGCCCCTTCCGGCTCTTTGACGTGCTGTCCCGGGCCCAAGAGGTACGGGGGCTGCCGGCAAGCCCGCTCGACCTATCCGTGCAATACGTTCCGCAGGGCCTCGTTGAGCAGTGGGCCCAGTGGACGGATGCAGCACCGTTATCAAGGGAGGGTCCTAGTGGTAGATGGGCTAGGATATGCTATGTATGCATGGAGGGAGACTTCAGTAGACGAGATCTACCTCTCTTAGGAATCCTACGATATGAAGGGACCCATAGAGAATTTAGATTACCAGCCTGCTGGTCAACTCACCAGCCGAGGGAGGATCCTGTTCACCTGTAAAGGAAACATCTGAGAATATTGTCACTCGGCAACGACGGCAGACAACTCGAAACGGTTGCTTGTGTTGAGCTCGCTGTCGTGGAAATCAGCATGCTGTACGGATCACTATACACAGGCGTTATACTGCGTATGTTGATGAGTATGATGAATGAATGGCTATGGGAAGGAACCCCATATCTATGTATATCAGGAGTCTACGATCCCCGTGGATAAGGATACTCTTGCCAGCCTTACTCATACCTCTGGTTGAGCATTAGTCAGGTCGCTCGCGCTGAAACAATTACCATAACGAGTGTCCTGGGGCAGTCTGACAGAAGGAAATGGCGTTACCGTACAGAGAAACTTGACAGCAGAGTCAATACTTCAATGCGAGATGCATGTTGTGGTACAGTAATACTACATGCTGCGGCCTAGGTGAGCTTATCGCAAACCATGCTCCACTATCCATCTTGGCTGCTCAGTCAAATCACGGAGACTTCGGGAAGAAATGATGTCAATGGGTCCAATAATTTACAACTTCTTCCCTCTTGATAACGTTTCCTTAACTGCTGCTGTTTGAATGAAACAAGTCATCCGTCACTCCCAATTCCAACGGCGGAGACTCCTCGTCTCTCTTTCCCGGAGACTTCCCCGTTGGCCTTCTTCGACGGTACCAATATCTCCAAGGGTATTGTCGTCTGTATTCCTATCGCCATCATGCTCTGGTCCATCGGTCTTGTCCTGTTCTTCGGTCTTCCTGACTAC